AAAATAAAAATTAGAGGGAATTTTTTTTAAGTTTATTTATTTATTTTGGGTGACAGAGCGTGAGTAGGGAAGGGGCAGAAAAATCAGGCTCCAAGCAGGCGCCACACTATCGGCATGGAGCCCAACTCCAGCTCGAACTCCCAAACCATGAGATCATTACCTGAGCCGAAATCAAGAGTCAGTGGTTCAATCGACTGAGCCACCCAGGTGCTCCTTTAGAGGGAATTTTTAAGGGATAAAAAACAATTTTTTTTAATCTATCCTGGATAATTTTAAGTTTATTCCATGTGGGTATTTCAGCATTCTTAGTTAGAAGACACTGCTACCCAGTAGCATGTGCCAAGCATGTGCAAATACATCTATCAAAGAAAACCAGAAAAGGAAACCAGCAAAACGTCGCTGGTTTTGGAAGGATAGCATATTACTGGCCCTATATTTGGTTGGACTAACAGTACATCTTCTAATCCTCGATAGCTCTTGGGAAGCCTGATTAAATTCTAAAACAGTTAACTAAATGAATCTGTTAACAGGAGAGAGAAAGTGAAAGGCAAGAAAATGGAAACAAATTCTGGGTAGTGAATTTCTCTCCTAAATGAGAATTCCAATGTTTAAATGAAATACATGAGAAGCTAAAGTGTTGTTATAATTTCTAAGTCATTTTATATTTTAAGAAGCCAACCAGACAGAAGACATTTTAAAAAATTTTTATATCATTTCTAACAAAGGACCATGCAATCATCTAACTAAAGGACACTTACAAGAGTATTCTGATGAATGGTTCACCAACAGTTGTTATTATAAAAGAGTTTTCCCCAAAAAAGGATTAAGGAAATGGCAGAGAGTATGTTCATGGATGGGTTGGTTCAGGATTCTCCCTGGAAAATGGGAACATCAAGCTACAAACTACAGCATAGCAATCAGACAATGTATTCAAAGGAAATACAACCCATTTTTAATTTTAACAGAGTTGTAAAATTTCAAAAGCAGAACAGCCTATACTATTAATTCAACATAATTAGAAGAATTTTAAAGAAAGTCACACTAACCAATTGACACTTAAGTAGAGAGAGTACTTTAAAGAATGGTGCAAATTACTTTCACTTCCTTTTTGGGAGGATATAGACATAGAAATTGACATATCCTTTTCTTCCAAGATAACAATATTACAATATTCCCTTCCTGGCTACTGAGGGGGAAAAGTGAGATATCTTAAAATCCCTAAGGAAAATAGTACGAAATCTTTTAAACTCTTTTTAACCATAGGACAAAAACAAATACTGGATCAAATATAGCAAGAAATGATCATGTATAAAAGTTCAAATATGGTCTAAGCCTGATGGTCACACACTCAAATCAACCAGTACCAAACAATCAACTTAAATGTATGAATCAAGCCAGGCTTAAGTAAGGAGCAGTGGGACTTGTTAGCAAATACGTACTCCACCTAAACACATTAAAATTTAAATGGAAAAAAAAAAAAA